GACCAGTTGCTCCTCACAGTTCCAGGATCTTGTCTTAAGCGCAGAGGTGACAGGGCCTTCTCTGTAGCAGGACCAAGACTTTGGAACGAGTTACCTCTGCTTGTCAGACAGTCCCCCTCCCTCTCGGTTTTCAAGTCCCATTTAAAAACCCACTACTATTCGGTGGCTTTCAACACCAGATGATCTGTGTTTTGATCCTGTATGCTCCACACTGGTTTGTTGTCATTATCTGCATCGTTTTTATGTCTATATTCTGATTTACCTCATTTTGTATATTGCTTTGTGTTGCCTGTTGTTTTGTCTGTACAGCACTTTGGTTGGCCTTGTCGCTGTTTAAAGTGCTCTATAAATAAAGTGGTAGCTCTTTCACACACTCCACTCAAAATGTCTGCTTACCGTTATAACATTAACATTATCTGCTAGAGTCAACAATGTTTGCCTGTTGGCAAAATATCTCCTGACTGACTGGGCAAATTTTGATGAAACCTTAGAAAGGCATCACTGGATGTACATCTACAATGGCCGTCCAGTTTGTTATGCCAGTGACAGCTAATCCAAATTAGCCATCATAAACATTGCTACAATTCAGTCAATTTTAGATATCAAGATAAAAATTGATGTGGTAGTAGCTGAGAGTCATGCACAACACAGCACGAGACTGAAAATGGTTTGACCAAAACGGCTACAATTTAGAAATTTGTCAACAGCAGATGATGTGCATCTGTCCCATGAATCCTAGGCTTTTCATCATGTGAATGTTTTTAAATCAATCATTCTCACCACTGAGATCCGTTTTTCTTCCGTACATATTTTGGCACGCAACTCATTCAGCAGTTTTGTTCTATTTCAACAATTCATGCATCAAAAGGTTCAGCTCATTCAGGACATTCCTGCTGTAAGTTTTGGTGTTTGTGCAACTTTTACTTTTTGATATATTTATCTTTGTCGGCCATGTTTTTGTCATTGAAAATGAATGGAGCGCTCTTCACATCCTTCAAACACTTTGTGCTGTTTGAAATCTTTTACTGCTCATTTCAATTTTTGTTTTAATTCTGTTATTTTCCACTTCTTTCTGCTAATTTCGGCTCCTATTGCTAAATTAAGCTTTTTTCTGTTTTTCAGCTACTTTTTAGGTATTATTTCCGCTATTCTTAGCCTTTTTCCTGCCATTTCTTCTGCCTTTAGACCATATTTCTAATAATTTCACATTATTTTTTGTAATCTATTCAGCCTTTCTCTGCCTAGTTACGCATCGTATTATGCTCCTTTCAGCTACATTTCTGCTCTATTCAGCTTTTGCTTTCAGCAAATGTCAGCTGTTCAAATTCAATTTGTATTTACAGTTTTAGCAATGAAACCTTTTCAGCTGGTTTCAGCAGCTTTCAATAAAAATCATTCAACGATAAGCATTTCACACTGCATTTTTACAGTAAATGCATTTCTCTTTTTTTAACGTTTGAAGGCTAAAGTTATTTTTAAATGGAAGTATTTTAGTAATAATTTCTGTAGAAGTAGGTGAACAAAATGTAATCATAGATAACTAATTTAAATACAACAATGCAACTGTTGTAAAGTCAATGATTAGGCTGATGAACACATGAATACAGTGAGTTCTGTATGTGTCGTGCTGCTCTAATGTAATCTGAAGAGGAGCATGGCTTCTGAGGAGCTCGCTGGGGGAAGCAGGGAGGAGACCAGCCAGCCTGTGATGTGAAAGTCCTTATAAGGCTGCAGGGAGAGGAAATTACCGGAAAGGAACTGATGTAAGTGCAGAAACCTTGAGTCACTACATGACTTCCTTGGGAAACTGAAGCACGGCCAAGAGCAGCCCAGCAAAGACTAAGTTTTAGAAACTGTGAAATGTATAAGAACAGGATAAAAAAAAAGAAAAAAGAAACTTGTTTTGGAAAAACTAGAGAACTGAAGCAGCGCCCTGAAAAACTTTTAATAAGCCGTGAACTTCCTGTTTTTTGAGTCAGCTATAGCGGAGAAGCTTAACCTTCACTGACCGTGGAGTGAATTCTGGTCCAGCTGAAAAAGTTCATCTCACTTCCCTGTGTCGTTGCCTTTCGTCTGCTGCTTGAGCACGGCGCCAAGAGTTTAAGAAAAGGAAACCGACCACCGGGTGTAGAAGCAGGGGTTGAATCTGGAGAAACGTCACCTTCGTCAGGTGAATCTATTTCTTGAGCTTTAATTCATCCGTGTAAATGAAACACAATGGCCACAAATCACACAATGGTTATTAATACACCTCCGAAACCTGCTGCTTCCGCTTTACCATCTATTCAGTCCACCATTAGTTCCCTCTTTATAACAAGCTGGCTACAGTCTCAACACATCTGCACCTTCTCTACACCGATCAAACAGCAAGTCCTGAGGTGTTTGAGGTTCCTGTTACTGCAGAAATGCTGCTGAGATCAACAGCCCACCAGCCTTATAGCAAAATGTAAAAATGCCTGACATCAGCCTGGAAAACACTTGTAAGAGGATTAAGGCTTGTTCAAGTCTAATAAATAATATATGAAAGCTTAAATGTACACACTATACTTCAAACATGATGGTTCCTAGAGTTAAAGTTCACAGACATTAAATGGCCCAGCAGTAAATTCTTTTCATAGCCGACCAACAAATAGGTGTGTAACGTTTATGTCAGCGATAACAATGCCTAACATTTTATTCCGGGTGACAGACGGAAAAAATGTGGAGGAAGTATGGGCAGAAACAATACTACAGGAAGGGAGCAGGTACAGAACTGGGAACCGTTTCAACTAAAGTTTTATGTTCTACATGGTTTGCATAGAAAACTACACAATAAATGTAGCCAATAATAGTGATTTAAACAAAAACACTGTTGTAAGTGTGACATCTATTTAGCACAGTCTCATTCAAAGACAATCAAATGTTTTACCATCTTATAAAAATTTACATTAACAACAATTTCATGCGGTGATTCAAAGCCTTTACTTAGAAATGCATAGGTCATCATTGGTAGAGTTGGGGGGGGTAAAATTAATTTTTTGTTGCGTCACATTACGGACATGCAAGATTCTGAATCGATTAACCAATATTAAAAATTGATTTTGTCATTGTTAATCTGTGCTGCTGCTTTTAGAAAAAACAGAGTAGTTGAAGCGTGGTGTCATTTATCCTAATCAAGTTCCAGTAGCTTCCTGTAGAGAAAACATGTTGCAGTAAAGCTGCATTTATCATCTTTTTCATCTTGTCCTCACAGAAACCTGACAAATGTCTGTCAATCAGAGTTGAAGTTAATATAACATGTCATTAGTAATGATTTCAAGACATTTTGTTAGTGCAAAAAATATCAAGTCTTAAACACAATGCTAATCATATTAGCTTTTCTATGGTGTTTTCAATGTTAAGTTAGCATCTATGCCAATTGTTGGAGCAGCCTGTTTAATAAAAAGGCTTAATGACATGTGTTATTGTGTTTTCTATATTGGGCGTGAAAATATATAAATCTGTGTTTATTTATGTAAAAGAGTGTCATGGTTATTAAAGTTCCCAGACAATCAAAATTCATCAATAATCTTTTGTAATCGCATCGCAGTCCTATTAGGGGTGCACCGATTGCAGTTTTCTGGCTGATCACCAATCACTGATTTCTAAAAAGTCTGACCTGCCGATTCCGATTTTGGCCAATACCGATTTTGTTATATAAGTGACACTGTCAGGTCACAATGCACCTTCAATATTTTCCAATATTATTTTGTTGAAAAACATACACTTGAACAATATCCTAGAAACAATAAAAACTTGTTTTAACTGGCCATGACGTAGTGCTCTGAAATAAAAATGAAGTTCAGACAATTGTTGTTAAAACAAAAAAATGAGTAAAATGGGTTTCTCATGTAAGTATCGGACGATTTCCGATATCCCAAAATTAAGAAAATCGGGGCCGATAAATTGGTCGGCCAATTTATTGGTGCACCCCTAATAAATTATATATGTATATTTATATATATATATATATCTTCCAGGGTGCAAAACTGACAACAAAGTAAAATTTAGAAAACAGCAGTGCCATGAACCATCCCAGATTTGAGTTTTCAGCGATCCACTTTGGACCTGGCACTGCTCTGACTAGCCATTAGCTCATCAGTCTGATCTGGTCAGAATTAAATTAAGTTTCCAAGATGAGGTAATTCAGAGAGCTGTGTGAAACAGGTAAGATATTTACTATTTAAAACCTATTTCCAAAGCTGTGCACTTTCCTTTTAAGTCAGATTGTGCGTGTAGTTATCTTGTACGAAAATGTGCAGAAAATTGTTGTAATTTACAAAAGGTGGGCAAAAGTCTTCATCGGTGGAAATTTATAAGGGTGGGTTTGAACCCACCTTCATCCAGTGAAGATGTGAGCAGAAATGACAGCTTTGTCTCTTTTTCCTTTTACAGCTGTCTGCACAACAGACTAGTCTTTGTGTTGGCCCCTTTGTGCAGAACATGACCAGACCCCTGCAGAATTTCAGTAAAGTTTGGATCTTTTGGACCTTTTCATCCACAGCTCAGATTATTACACCGAGAGTAAACTGGGCCCTGGGTTTCCCAGTGGTTCGGGCAGCACAGCTGGCCTGAATGAGGGTTTAAACCCCTTCTTGTTAAGAAAGGAGGCCTGGTTGTAAAAACAGTGCTAGCTTAGTGGCTACTGCAGGCCACACTTCCGCTGAACCCCTCCTCCCTTAAAAAAATAAAAAGCGACATTTCAAGGCTGCGGATTTACCTTCATAATGACGCGTTTAAATTCGTTTTTTTTAAGCCTTGAGTTTGGATTAAGGGTTTGTTTAAAAAAAGGCGCTAATTTGAGTGAACCAAAGGCAACGGGCGGTAGCGCGCACGCGCACACACTTAACGGAAAGTAGCAGTTAGGATGCGATTCAAACACCGTTAGCTTTAATATTCAGCAGCAGCGGCCGTTAGAGCTTGAAAGGAGGTGAAACAAAGGCCCGGGACAAAACAGAACGCTGATATTCAGCCAGTCTTACCGTTTTCGGCATCTTTCCCTTCTTTTAGTCCGGCTTTTATGTTAAAAAAAATTTAAAAAAGTTCGTAAACGACTAGTTCGGCAGAAAACTTTCTCCCATCAGAACAAACGCCCTCCCGGTTCGAGGACTCAGACCGTACTCTTAAAGGAAAGCTCGAGTGTTTTAAAGCCTGAGCTCCAGGGAGAGTCGCTCTTTGTTTCGTCTTGAAGTCGGACTGCTAACGGTACGGTACCCCCGCTGCTGCCGAAAAACCACACCCAGAGACCGATGACAGGACAGCAGCCGGGCGGAGGGAGGGAGGGAGGGAGGATTCAGGCCGGCTCCTGACTGACTCCGCCTGCCGCCGGTGCGTCACCAGCCTGGGTCCGAGTCTACACAAACAAACAAACAAACAAACAAAAAGGTCCCCCCTGTATGGGGTGCCGTTTGTAAAGTTCCCATTCAAAAATTAACATCAATATTTTGGTTTATTTAGCTTTTAATAAGAAAAAAAATAGGGGTTATTATTTTCAAAGTCATAGTTTTACCATGTTTTTCATACATTTATAAATGTCATAGTTCCCAACTAAATATTAACTTGCAAGTTAAATATTTAGTTAGTAAACTAAATATTTAGGTGTAAATTAAATATTTAGTTGGGATGACATTTATAAATGTATTATTATTATTATTGTTTTTAATTTACCCTTTATTTATACAGGTAGTCTCATTGAGCCACGAGAACACATTTTTTAGGGAGCAGATGGTGGGTGTTAAGGGCCTTGCACACGGGCCCAGAGTGGGGCAAATGAGGGTGGAGGGAGGTGTGTGTGCTCCACCTTTTCCATCCACATTTTGATGTTGACGGTACCAGGAGTTGATCCTGAAACTTTCTGATTACAGGCCCATCTTGTAGCCTCTGCGCCACCACTCCCCCCATTAATAACATGGTGAAAATATGACTTTGAAAATAATAACCTCTATTTTTTTTTCATATTAAAAGCTAAATAAACCAAAATATTGATGTTAATTTTTGACTGAGCAACTTTACAAATGGCACCCCATAGCCCACTTTCAGCAGACACAAACATCCAGACTCCAGTCTTTTACATTTAGGTTCCTTTTGAGGACAAACCAGTGCTCACTTCAAACGAGTTTATGTTCAGAGGCGTAGCTAAGATCATGAAACTTTGGGGGACAGGCCCATGGCTTAATTTGTAAACAGATCTATGCTGGAACGCAAATAGACAGGTGGGGTGGGGGTGGGGGGGGTCTGGGGGTTATTCCCTATAACATTCTGAATATTTAGATGATGTCCTGCATTTTGGTGTATTTTAACGGGTTGTTAAACATCTATGTTTACCTACATTTGTAAACACATGCTTCTGTCAAGCATCCTACCCCCCACCCCTTACTTGATGCCTGACTCTCCTCAGCTGAATTCACTCTCCTGCTCCTTAATGTATGACTCCACATGTGAAACCTCCAGGCGCCTCCTCCATCTGTTCCTGGCAGCTGTCTGTGGGCTCTTGCCCGCGTACGACTGCCTGGTTAGCTCGTCACTCACCCCCATGCACCACTTGCTCGCTCATGCTCCAATCTCGATTGCCAATGCCTTAAAGTGCTTCAGTTCTTAATTGTCCAACTAAGGACAGTGAGAAGACTGTCTTTTCAACATTTTGATTGCTGTTATTTTGATAAATTAGCACCGAATAATACACATCAATCATTTCTATCGTATTATTAATAAATAATCAAAATTTTATTAATGACCCACTTAAACTGTCAAACTGATTTGCAATTTAGTTGGGCTGTTTAATTATATTTTTGAGTTTTTTTCAACAAAATTTCACGATGACTTTGGATTTTTAGGGGGCAGAGATTATTTTAAGGGTAGAAGCAGAAATGTTTACTTAAATGAGCAGCTCGTGATATTAAGATCCTTGTAAGTGGCTGTTGTGTTTAAAATGAGTGTTTATGTAATGAGTTTGGGTTTACATATTCAGTATAAGTTTTTTTCGTTCAAGGAAGACATATTTGTTCATAACTTTATTAGTAAGCCTGAGAGTTACCGGATCCAAGCAGACAGTTACCGGAACGCACCCTGTCAAAATAAGAGAGGTCCCAGATCCTGTTCCCACAGGATCCGGCTCCAATTAAGCCCTGGACAGGCCCAGACAGGTTTTCATACTAGCAATGACTAACAAATATTAAGCTCCCAAATTGAATTAAAACTCATTTTATTGGATTCAGCTTAAAAATGAAAAAGAAAATACACATTTTCTGTAAAATTAATTGACAAATAAATACGTTATGCAATTTTAGAGGAATTAAAAAAGCAAATTTCAACTAATGATTGGATCAAATCATCTTGATTCTAGTGCTTCAAAAACAACTTTCAGGTCAACAGATTATCATGAAAATTGCTCAGAATAAGAGTTTAATAAATTCCTATGTTCTATTTAATAAATACTATAAGTGCAATTTGTGACATTTGATCACTGGAAGCTGAGCCATGCATGAACCCACCTGTCCCACTGACTGGGGTTATAACATTAAACTTAACTCCTGGTAGCCGCACTGTTCCATCTGCCACCCTCTCATTCACACACGTGTACTCTGTCCGGCTGTATGACTGACTTTCATCCTTCTTCTTTCAAGTGCATACCTCCACCTCTCCAAGTTCTCCTCACCACAGATCCCATCATCTGCAAACATCATCGTCCACGGGGATTCCTGCCTGACGTCATCTGTTAGTCTGTCCATCACCAGAGCAAACAAGAAGGGGCTCAGAGTTGATCCTTGATGCACTCCCACCTCCACCTTGAAGCTATCTGTCACTCCTACAGCACATCTCACCACTGTCCCGTTGTCCTCAAACATGTCCTGTACCAGTCTAACATACTTCTCTGCCACTCCAGAGTTACTCATGCAACACCACACCCCCTCCCTTGGCACCCTGTCATTTCTCTAAATCCACGGACACCACAAAGTTCTTTCTGACCCTCTCTGTACTTCTCCATCAGCAGTTACAAGTCTGTACATCACCCTTGTTGTTAAAAATGGTCTCCAGCACACTTCTTCTAAATTCCTCAAGCATATTCTCGCCCTCAAATATGCCATTGAATATTTGAGTCAAAAACCTCACCTCTCCGAGACCTTTCCAAACCTCCACTGGCCATCAGGTCCTACTGCCTTCCCTTTCTTCATTATTTTCAGAGCTTTCTGAACTTCAGCCTCACTTATCTTTCCTTTTGCTCTACCTTGCATCTCCTTGTATTTCTCTTCAGTCCTCTCACTGTCATATTTCTTCTTGGCTAACCTCTTTCTTTGAATAGCTTCCTGCACTTCACTATTCCACCACTAGGCTTCCTTATCATCCATTCTCTGTCCAGATGACACACCAAGTACTTTCCTACCTGTCTCTCTAATTACTGTTGTGTAGTAGCCCAGTCATCTTGAAGCTCTTTAACAGCTCCTCTCTGAACTCCTCACAACATTCGTCCTTCTTCAACTTCCACCATTTGGTATTCTTCTCTGATTTTACTCTCCTTGTTTTTACCTCCACATCTTATAAGGCAGTCAAAACCCTAAACTGAAGTAAATAGTATCTGGATCAGTTGGCTTAAAGTGTGCCATAAAACGGTGAATCACAAAGGACAAGACTTGAGACCACTTGATTTTTAAGGGTGTGCCTGAAAGTACAGGAATGAGATGTGAAACTTGAGTCTTTCACTGACGACCAGGGCCTTTCCGGTACATGTATCAGTGATTTTAGATCTTTGCAGGAGGACTTGGGCAAAACACAGACAGGAACGAAGACAGTGCTCACTCGCGTTTTGTGTTTTGAAAGTAAAATCACCGGTGGCTTCATGAAGAAGTCACAGCAGACTGGCTGGTTAACAGCACTGAGGCATCATTGTGTTCGAATGCTGACTCACGTCCGTCTCTTCCAGGGCAGAACGACCTCCCACGGTCTCGGTTCAGAGAAGCAGCAGCATGGGTGCTCTCCATTCAAAAGCAAGATAAGGTCATGTTCTCTGAAGGCACGGCTAATGGTGAACGGACGGACCTACACAATTGTGTCATTATCTCCCACTAAGGTGAACAAAACAATATTAAAACATGTGTAACAATCCTAAAATTTAATTTAAAAGAAGCTGAACTGCTCTTCATTTTTAAAAACACACTTCTTATTAAGTCAAGTTAAAACAATCCCCCCATGGACCAGAAACATTAAATGTTAGGCTAATTGGTAACTCTAAATTGTTCAGGTGTGAGTGAGCATGTGAATGGTTGTCTCATTTGTCTTTGTGTGTTCCTCTGATGGACTTTGACCTGTCCATGGTGTCCCTCACCTCTCTACAATAACTGATGGACACAGGCATCCTTGACCCCCGCAACCGGTGAAGTAGTGGGTAGAGATAATGGATGGATGAAATCCTAATTTTATTTTTTTTAATTTGTCTCAAGTCATTTTTTAAATGCAAGTACTGATACATTTTAATTGTTTTCTGACGCAGGACTACATCCATAAATACCATGCCTTATGAGGGGTTCAGTCATGTCTCTCTGTACATGTCACTTTGGAGCTAAATAACTATGTTTGATTTAAAAAAAGTTACTTATAAAATATCTGTTAGGCACAGTAGTAATTTTATATTAATATGCAAAGCATAGATCACATTTTTATTTACTTAAATTCATCATTTTATTGTAACTAGTTATAAAATCATTAAAGTTTTTGTGCCCAAATTCATTCAAGTAAGAAGCTATTAGACTATTCAGCCAGCAGAGGGCGCACGTGTGCAGCAGCTGAAAGGCTTGTTCCAGTACAGGGTCTGCAACTTTTTTAATCTGAACAATCATTCCTGCCTCTTTTCCTACAAAATAAAGATTTTCCAGATCCACAGATTGCAGAACCCTGATCTAATAGTATAAAAGTGAAATTAAATTCCTATTCTAATGATTTCTCATCTTTTCAGGTGTGTTCTAAAACTGAGTCACGTCCCAAAACTACAGTAAACTACCACTGTATCCTGACAGCAAACATTTTTATCTTTTATAAGATGCAGAAATTAGTTTTATTCCACATTACTTGTTAATTTAAAATGACTGTCAAATCTATGAAAAATACTCATCAGCCATAACATTATAACCACTGACAGCTGAATAAACCACTCAATTTATCTCGTGACAATGATGCCAGGAAGTGGACAAGATATTTGTTATCATCTGATCATTCTCTCTTTGAAGTTTATGTATTGAAAGGAT